TATTAAGTCCATGCATTCAAATGCTTGGTTCAGTTCTAGTATTTTGTTGTTGATTTTTTTGCCTAGATGATCTGTCTATTTGTGATAGTGGGGTATTTAGATCCCCCACTACAATTGTATTAGTGCTTATTTGGTTTTTCATGTTACTTAATATTTGTTTTATATAGTTGGGGGCATTAATATTTGGGGCATATATGTTTATGATTGTCATCTCTTGCTCTTGAATTGTTCCCTTTACAAGGATGCAGTGGCCTTCTTTGTCTCTCTTAATCAGTTTAATTTGAAATTTACTTTGCGAATACCATTGCTACCCTGCTTTTTTCTAGGCTCCTGTTGCATGGAGAATTGTTTTCCATCCTTTCACTTTCAGTCTATGGGCTTCTTTTTGCACTAGGTGTGTTTCTTGTATACAACATATTGTTGGATTTTGCTTCTTAATCCATTCTGCCATTCTATTTCTCTTGATTGTTGAATTGAGGCCATTGACATTGATGGTTATAACGGATATGTACTGATTTATTATTGACATGTTATTGGCCTTTTGTTGACTCTTTTTACTTTCCCCCCCTCTCCTTTTAGATTCTTGCCTTGCCTATTTGATTTGGTCTGTTGGGACTCATGGTGTTGTGACCTTCATTGTCTTTTTCTAGGATATTGTTTAGAATTCCTTGTAGTGCTGGCTTGGTGTTCATGATGTTTCTCAGGTGTTCTTTGTCATGGAAGTATCTTATTTCCCCATCCATTTTGAAAGAGAGTTTTGCAGGATACATCAGTCTAGGTTGGAGGTTGTTTTCTTTTAGGACTTGAAATAACTCACTCCAGGCTCTCCTTGACCTGAGGGTTTGTGTTTAAAAGTGTGCTGTGATTCTGATGGGCTTTCTGTTGCATGTGATTTGTTTCTTTTCTCTTACTGCTTGTAGTATTTTGTTCTTCTGTTGGGTTTCTGGGATCTTGATTATTATATGTCTAGGTGTAGATTTTTTTTGATAGTGACTAGTTGGAGTCCTGTATGCCTCAGTTATCTGTATGTCTAATTATTCCCTTCTGTTTGGGAAGTTTTCTGTAATTAATTCTGTGAGCAACTTTTTAAAGTCATTTGTATTTTCTCCTGCTACTTCATGGATTCCTATCAGTCTTATGTTATTCTTCTTTGAATCATCTAGGAGTTGTTGGATCGATTTCTCATGATCCCTTATTGTTTTTAAGAGACCTCTCTTTTCATGGTCACTGACTGCAATCCTATCTTCTATATCTGAGATTCTATCTTTGCATTCTTTTATTCTGTTGCGTACACGTTCAGTAGAGTTTTTAATCTCCTGGATATCTGTTTGAATCTGTTTTATGGATTCCATTTCTTTCCTCTGATGGGCATTTATTATTTCCATTTCTTTCTTATGCTGGGCCTTCATGGCTTCTATCATGGTCCTGAGCTCATCTATTTTTTTTGTCAGTTTCTGCTCTAGAGTCTTGAATCACGATTTCCATTTTGCTTATCATCTCTATGGTTATCTGGGAAATTATTTCTGTTTTGAGTTTTTTCTAGAGCCTGATTGATCTGTTTTGTTAGTTCCTGTGCTATGGGTTCAGGGTGTCCTGAGGGTTCACTATCAGACTTTTCATCCTCCTTTGCCCTACTGTTTGCCCTTGGTGAACTGGAAGTCTGTCTTTGTGTCTTGCTTAAGTGTTTTCTCATTTTTATTTTTGTTGTTGGGTTGTCCTTGGTTTAATTTCTGGGTTATTACTTAAATCTTTTTGATATAGTTGTGCTTTAGCTTTTGAGTCTCTAATGACTCATAGACATTCTCATTTTCATAATATCAGAGAAAACAACTCGTTAAATCAATCACAATCCTTTATCCCAATTGATACAATCAGCAACATAATAGGATCAAGCACAACTTGCAAATTGACCACTTGTGGTAGTCATTAATCTAGCACCTTTAAACCATGTGAATTAAATTAAAATCAAGAAGCAGCCCAAAATATGTTTGCAAGGAACACACTTTTCAATATAGCATATTTACCATTTAGGATGGGGGCTTAGATAGAGTTAGTACAAGAGGTGTAGATAAGTGAAAGAATTGGAGAGGGTTTCCAGTGAAGCCAGAGGACATAGAATGACCATATCTTTAGGAAACTGTTAAATTCAAAAGGGAAAGGCAGAGTGCAAGAATAAAGACAAGAATATATCCCCTTAACAGCAATAGGGGCTCACTTTCCCTTGAAATTATTGACCTATGAGTGAGGTAAAATGACAGAGGAAAAGAATATAAACAAAAAAAAATGATAAAAGAAGAAATCTGAGTTAGGCAGGAGCAGGAACAGAAAGGCAGATGAGGGATAATATGGTGGAGCAAGAGACTGAGTTGGAGAAAGAGGACAGAAAAAAGAAAGTATTTGCAGAGTGGAATGAGGAAAAGAAAGAAAAAAAATGAATTTGAAGGGCCTCTTTCAGACTATATCTTTGCTGTTATAATATACAACATGTGCAGCCATGTGCAGAACCAAGTCCCCTGTTCTCAGCTAGCCAATGGCAGATCCCCGTGACTCAGACTGACCTCAGGCCACCAGGTCCAGTTTGAGTTCCCCGATCTCCTGCAGGTTTGAACTCCACATAGTTCTACTACAAGTTTCCCTCGGCCTTTCTTTAAACATGTTCAAAGCTCGGAGCTCAGAAAAATACCCTTTATGACCACCTATGCCTCTGTAGAGTGGGTCAAAGGACTGGCACAATCAGGAGATCTGACAGCAGTGCACCGGGGTAGGGGTGTTTCAGGGGCGTCTGTATGGTTACCTTCTTTGCTGGAGCTGCTGGCAGTGCAGACAGGGGAGGGCATGGCTACCTAGTCCCACCAAATGGGCCCAAGCAGCCCGGAGGGAGAACAGATCTAGGAGTGGCCTTCCCAAATCTCACCTTCCTTGCTGGGGCTGGTGGCACACAGGAAAGGGAGGGTGCCCATATATGCAATGATTTCCATATGATATATTTTTGAAGGGAGCACAGTTCAACCTATAACATGGTGCTTGAAGAGGGACTTGTGTATACTGGGCAAAGATTGAAGTTTCAGGTAAGGATCCCTATTATGGGTAATGTCATGAGTCAAGAACGGTCAGTACAACCTCCTTAGTAAAGGGTTCTCATGCCATAAAGGCATCCGAGGAGTTTCCATCCCAAATCAGGCGAGTGTAGGGCTGACTGAACACTCTAAAGATGGCAGACAAAAGCCTCTCAAAAAAGATGGTGAGGGCAGGCTGTCTCTTCCTCTTTCTTCTTCCCCAAAGGCATCAGCCCCGCCCACTGGTCTCTCACTTCCTGTCGATGAAGTACCCCCGCTAAAACCCCTCATCACTGGAATAATGGTCATCAGGAAAAGCCTACCTTTTCTGGTCCGAGATGGCCGCCTCCACCCTGTGCGCTGCCACCTTACTTGTCGGATGAGGAGAAACAATTCTTTGATTGGGCCTTAGCATGACTTCGGGGTCCTCGGCCTCCGGGCTGCCCACCCTACTCCTCCAAAGCCCAGCCGGTGCAGCTGCGGTATGCCCAGGCCTGCTGAGCCGGGAAGGGAGCCTGGTCGGTGGCTGAGTCCAGCAGCTATGCAGTGGCCGAAGGTCATTTTGTCTTCCCGGCCTCTGCTGTCCCTGCCTCCCACCGTGTATCCCATTGCCCCTGCTGCTTGTGGCCCCACTAACTGGGGCACATTAGTGCCCAGCGGGCCGAGAGGGTTAGAGTTCGGGGTCGAGGTCAGTGAGATGGAGGCTACCAGGTCCCTGGCATGCAGCCACGGGGGCTGGTTGCTCCCCGGCCTGTGGCTGCTGGTCCTGAGCTGTCCTGGGGGGCTGCTCTGCGCCCAGGAACAGCCTTCTTGCTGCAGAGCCTTCAATCTCTACTTCCTCCTGGACAAATCCACAAGTACTTAACCCTGCCATTTTTGTTACTGTTGACTGGAATTCTACCCTACCCAAGCCCGTATTTACCCTACAGCCATGGAAGGCACTGTATTACCCTTGTATTGATCCTTCTTTATTTAATCATACAGAACCTTGGAATTTATATTTTGCTAGAACACCCCCAGCCGTTTGGGTCCCTGCTGATATGGAATGACAATCTTCAGATCCTTTCTTTAATCTTATGCTTCATCCCCGCAGTAAGAAAGATTTTGAAATTTCTTCCCTTACTGCTGTCATTGTTTCCATGGTGGCAGCTATTCCCGCCACAACAACGACAACAGTAATCTCACAAAATCAAGTGGCAACAACAACAGCAACGGTCAACCAGCTACCCTGCTATGTCAAGATGTCCGCGCAGCTGTACTCAATCTACAAATCCAATTAAACTTAGTTTGGGAGGAATTAATGCCCAGGTGTTAGATGTTGAAACTTTAAATAATGTTTGGGATACCATTTGGTCAAAAATTCAGGCTGAATGGCATAATTTGAGTAGTTGGATACGTGGAGGATCACATTAAAGTCTGGCTGATTCAGGAGCACCACACCCATCTCTCGTGAGAAAACTCCGCAAAAACCTCTAAAGTCCTGACTCCATTGCCTCAGCCCCTAAAGCATACAATCCAAAAACTAACATGTGGCCAGTAACGATGTGCCAAATACCCTGGTTCCACCCCTACCTTACCCGATCCAATAGCGATCCAATAGCGCCACCCTGGCTCCACCCCCACCTTACCCTATATAAGCCTGTGCATTTGCTGAATAAAGCGGAAGCGTTCCAGAAACCTCCCTGGAGTCTGAGTGGTGCTTCCGCCGCCTTGCCCTCCCAGTCCAGGCCCCCTGAACCCTGTTCCTCAAGTGGGCTTCCGGATGAAACTACAACAGGTGAATCTTTTTCATACAAAATTATTATCATATTAATCTCTCATTTGAATATAATTTATTTACATGTCAAATTTTTCTGTTGTATTATAAAAGAACTATGATTTCCTATTCCTTTTTCTTGGAATTATACTATTCAAAGGAAATTGAAATCACCCTTCTCTCAACAGGTACAAAGTACTGTTACAGTTGTCCTTCCACTACTACTCTCATCCTCCTGCCAAGAAGAAACTCACTTGTAAGGTTGAATTCAGGGCTCACATGTTTCTGTCACATAAGAGGCACAGTTCTGGAAGGGAACTGGAAAGAATCCTAAAGGTAACTTCATGTGATATCTTTATTTTCCTAATGCAGAAATTCAGGTTCAAGAAATTAAAATAATTTGCCTCTGTGTGCTCAGGGTTGGAAGGGAAATCACGCCTTGCATTTAATTCTGAAAGTAGGAGCTTTCCAGTATGTCATTATATTCATACATATGAATAAAAATCCTAGAGTCTATGGGTTAGAAAATTTCTCAGATACACGCCACCTGTGTGTTAGCTTTCTTTTGCCATGGTGAAAGGTCTAGGAATGACAGCTCAAAAGAGGAGAGTTTTATTCTGGCTCACAGTTTCAGTGGCTGAAACTCTAGAGGGCTGGCTCCACTGCCATGGGCCTAAGGTGAGATGGAAACAGTACAGGGGAAGGGTGTGGCGCAGGAAGGCTGCTTCTCTCACGGCAGCCAGGAAGCAGAGGGAGGGAAATGGAGCTGGAGAGAAGGGCTAGGACCAGATATAGACCCCAGCCAGTGGGTCATGCCCCGGAGACTCACTTCCTTCCACTACATCCACCTGGGGTTTCTGTCTTAGCAGATACACTATGCAAAGGGTGGAAAAGAACAAACGTTCCTCATCTTGGCTGTTTACTGCTCTGTGGAATGATGTGCTAATTTTCTCAATTCTTCTGATATTTAAAGAAAATCTGAGGATCTGAATTTTATTTAGAATTTTCCAAATTGAAGGGAAGAAAACTCCCATAAATTTTAAGAAGCATCATATAAATAAAACACAGTCCCCCAGAGGGATTGGTCAGCCTGAAGTCTCTGATTCATAGCTTCTCTTCTCTTCTTACTTACCCAATAATCCCCTTACTCCCTGGTTGGTGTTAGATTCAAGAGCACAAAGAGACAAATGTAATCACTTTAAGCAATAAGTATTCATAGCTTTATGTTGAATTTTCCAGGCTTTCTTTTAAGGGTTTTCACATTTGTTTTGTGTTGTTTTTGGTACTGGGACGGAACTCGGAATCTTACACTTTCAAGGCAGGCAGCAAGAGCACTGAGCTAAATCCTTGGCCCTTCAGATTTTTACTATATACGCTAATAATTTTTAGGGTTGGTGTGTGATGGTAGAAAAGTTTGTATAATCAGAAGTTAATGGGACTAAGTGATTTGTTATTATTATTATTATTATTATTATTATTATTATTTTTTTTTTGGTTTTTTGAGGCAAGGTCAAACTATGTAGTTGAGACTGACTGGAACTCACTATGTAGCCCAGGCTGTTCTTGAACTCACAGGGATCCTCCTGCCTCAGTCACCCGAGTGCTGGGATTACAGGCATGTGCCACCATGCCCGGCTAAAATTTTCAGTTTGGTTGGTAGTTGAAGAATTTAAGTTCTTAAGCAAGGCATAGTGGTATATACCTGTAATCCCAGCACTCGGAAGCCAGGAAGATGTCTGTGAGTTTGAGGCCAGCCTGGGCTACATAAGTTCTTAGAGTTACATGTTCTGCTCAAAATGTTTTAGGTCATGGAGGCATCACTCTTAGAGCAGTGTTGTTTGCACAGGTAGATTATCATAAAATAGTGACACTAGGCTTGAGATGCTTATTCTTATCTTCATTCTCTATGGCAGGGTAATTTTTTTAATCTCTAATTTTACTGACCAAGACTGAGTGGTAAATCTATTTTTCCTTTAAAGAGCAGGCCAATAACTCATGTCAGCACAAAAGACTTTCAGTTTTACATTCATTCAATGATCTGTACTTCCTTGGATTTTCCTACCTGTTTAAAAACTATGCCTCTTTGATGTGTGTGTTAGAAATAGAAAAGTGGCAAGGGTATGATTTCGATTATGGAAAAAACAACTTTGGTTTCTGAAGCACTTGCTCTAAAGGTGGCATTCCTAAGACAAGTCACAATAGATTCTCTTCCTCCACTGGGCATGCAGACACTCTGGTGGTGTTTTTTATTCTTCACAGTGCAGAAATTGTGGGGAAGACAATAGGCTTGTTTCTAATTTGGTGTTTCCGAAAGCTTGGCAAAATAGAAATAAGACTGTATTCAAAAGTTGAAAAAGAGCATGTAAATAGCAATAACTGAAATTTGTGATTAAACAATTAGCAAAAAAGAACCCTATGAAGTCATTAAAAGTATAAAGAGGGAGGCGCTTCCTGCTTTCTCATTACGGGTGTGAGCTGTTATTATTTAACACTGATTGAGCACCAGCCGTGGGGGAGCCATTCTGTGAATGGCAGAGTTGGGAACAGTGACTTCTCAGTGGTATTCTCATTGGAGACAGCAAGAAAACCTGAACACGTGTTAGCGCTGTATAAAGATCTGAATCAAGAGGAAGAAATATTTACCAATGTGAATAATGGAGTCTGTAGAACAAAAATAATTTTTGAACAAAACAAATAAGCAAAGTTGACTTTGAATCTTGCCTTGCTTCCCTTATCTCCAGGACTTTTGACAAAGTTACTTCATTCCTCTATGCCTTAATGTGTTCTGCTTTAAAATGGGAGTACTATTGTATTTCTTACAGTATTTTTGTGGGACTTGGTGTTGGTCACACGAAGTGCAGGAACTTCCTAAGCACTATGTGACAGAACCATTTTATTATGATTCTCACTACTAGCTGTCTTCATTTATAACAATCTCATTGTTTTATAATATTGAGGAATTCTAAGAATACCTAAATGTCATAAAGAATTTGAAAAAAAAAAAAAAAAGGAATTTAAAGGGCTCAGAGTGAAGTGTACCAGTCAGTTAGGATTATGTTATTTGATTTGGCTTTAAGCCAAGCAAATGTTCATCTGCCAGTTAAAAATGTACCACCTGCCTTCACCCTCTCTTTAATATATTCTTTAAAGTAGCATGGTGGAAGCTCTCCAGCTATACTCAGAACATGCCTTTTAATTTGCAGTTTTAAGCGTCCAGATTCTTGAAGGGATCCTATCTTTGCACTTAGAAACAATGAAGAAATTGAAAGATTTGTACCCAATAAGTTTAAAGGGACAGCTGCTATAGCCAAGTGCATTTGTAATATATTTTGCTTGGGGTTTCTCTGTGATGATAGTGGAATGTTATTCACCAGAATGCAAGTTAGAGATTATGTAAGAATGACTTTGTAGGGATAAGCATGTTTTCTTGTGAGACAAGAAACAAGTTAGCAGATAGAGAACAAAAGCATTCTCCTGCAGTGGGGAATATATTTGATGACCTGATGCAAATATTACACACTTTTGAAAGTGCTTGATACTACAAATTGCATTTTGTAGTGTGCACTTCATTCAGCACATTTGCTATTTTATTTTAATGTACACAATTAGCACTGTGAGTGGAAGTGTTATGGATAATAAATTATATGAACATGGAGGAGTTAGCTGTGGTGATCAGGAAGAGGCTGAGGGAGCAGGCAAACCAGCTACCCTTCCCATTTTAGTCCAAGGAATGCAGCAGGCAGTACAAAAATGTTCAACCAGAGACTGGCAACTTCTTGTAAACAGAATTTTATAGAAATGGTCAAAGATACCCTATTAATTTCCTGGCATGTCATCGACATTCATTTTTATTAGACCCTATTCTTTCAGAAAGGATAGCATTATTGCCAGCTAGTAGAATATTTATTGAATGCCTATTTTGCACCCTGCAGGCTCTTTTAACTCACATCGTAGCAGTTTTAAAAACAGTGTAGGAAGAGTTGTCTTCCTCAATGTTCTGAGATAGACTTTCTATAAAGTTTGCTGTACTTAGACAGGTTTTCAGATCTTTGCAATGGTCTTCATCTCATTCACTTCTTAGTTTTTTTGTTTTGTTTTTTGTTTTTTTTCTTCATACTGGGAAACGAACTCAGGACCTTGCAGCCTATGAGGCAGGCACAGTGCCATCGAACTAACTCCCTGGCCTATTCACCTCTCATTTTTAAATGCATAGCATAGATCTGTCATGCAGTCTACATAAACATAGTTAAAACAAAACCTTAAAGACCCTGCATCAAAACTCAGCCTTAGTAATGTGAGAAACTCGAGACTTGTAGATTTTCTACCAGATCTGTGTCCAGCTAGCTATTCCTTTGTTTTCCCTCTTGCACACCACTTTTGTCTCTATTTGTTCTTCTCTATCCCTCTTGATAAAATTTAGAGTGCCACCAAAACGGGGTGTGGCCTGAGGAGTGTAGGTTTCTGACGAGCTTCTAGGTGGTATAGATTGCTGGTTAATGGACAAGTTCAAGAAGAAGGGAGTGGGATTGGGGGTGCCGCCAAGTGGTAGAGTGCTTGCCCAGAATGTATAAGGCTCTGGGTTTGGTTGCCAACAGAGAAAGTGAAAGAGAAGAAAGAGGTGGGTAATGAAAGTGAGAGAGCAAAGGAAAGAAACTAGGACATTCTGTGTTCTATTATTGGAATATCTGTTCAAATGGGTCAGTAGTTCTGATAGGTATGGTACCCTTGTTATTTGTGGTATTTGTAGCATGACTCATAATATAGTCATTTTAACTATATAGATGTAAAACTGCCAAGTCCTTTGAGTAGATAAAAGCCTTGAATTCCCTTTTTTTTGTTGTTGACTTCTCTCAATTATTGTTTAAAATATAAGTCTAGGACAATAACAACAGCAACAAAGTTTTATATCTCAGCCATCAAATGTTACAAATAGATTTTCTAACGTGTCCTTATGAACCATATTGTTAATTGACAATCAAGAATTATGTAGATCTATTGGAGTAGTTTTAATTAATTTTTTCCCTTGGACAATCAGTAAGTTTTAGGAGAGAGCACAGATGTTTATTTAGAGGGCAGAAGAATGCGTTCTTAGGTCTGGTCGTGAATTAGAAGGTCATCATGCCCAAAGGATAATTGTGCCCATTTATTTTTTTGAGAACTGTGAAGGCGTGTATTATTGTGGGATGGTAATGGTGGGTTCTTTTTAGAGTTAGCAATTTCATAGCAATGATACAGCTGTGTTCTATGGGAAACCACCCAAACACTTGGCAGAAGTAGAATACCAATGGTTCATTTCTAATTAAACTTGTTTATTTTTTTCCTCAGGATGTGATGGC